ATGATCATTTCTATATTTTTATAAAAGCTCCCGAACAAAAACCATTATTATATTTTTATGACATACGCGAAGCTAAACTCTCGAGACGTGACTTATGACAGATAAAATATGTTACTAAATAAATACACGATTGTGATAGAGAATAAGAAGCTGACGTCTGATTTCTTCAAGCGGTCGTATTTACCATGTTTACTAAGGTAACGTTAATGGCTAGCGTGCATAGTCTTTTGCATCGCTTATAAATATTTCTGCCTTGTATGGTGATCATAATCCACATCGGATCAAGTTATTTCAAACACTCGCTTCTGTCTGAAAGTGAGTTTTGAGCTCAACTTATTTTAAAAGTCTTTGATGCTGGTGTTATCTGTTAACATTATGAAATGATCCACGGCGCTGACGCTCTCCAGACGCGGAGAAACTCCGCCTTTGTTCATAACCACTCCTCTAGCCCCAGCTGGCCCGCTTTGGCCCAAGGTTTTCGTCGGGCCAAAAAACTCGGGCCGTTGGCCCCGAGGAAGCACCGACCAGGCACAATCAAGCCCCGGAAGTGACAGTGGAAACGTGACTGGCCCTGGCATGCACTAGCACGCCCGCTTTTTACCCGACAGTGGAAACGCGGCTATTTACTCACTCTCATGCCATTTCAAACACATAAGTCTTTGGTTAATCTTTGAATCAAAAATTAAGAAGGTTTTTGTCCATTGAAAGTCTAGGTAACCAAAAGGTCCAAAAGATCCAAAAAGGTCATAAAGGCATCATAAAATGAATCTATATGAATTATATGAATCTATACAAAGCGTTTTTTAAATTTTTTTTTTTGGCACACATACATAGTGAATCACATATGATAAACACAGAAACTTGTGCATCATAAACGTGTGTGTTTGAGCTTCTGTGTTTACCATATGTGATGTTCTCCATCTATGTGTGTCGATCATTGTTCAGATGTAAATTAAACCCTAAATTAATCACATGACTTTGATTTAAAAAAAAAAAAAACACTCAATACATGTGGATTTCATTTTTCAGATCTCCTAAGTTTTGATTACTTGGACTTTCAATGGAGATCTAAGATTTAATTTCAAAAATCCTCATTAGTTTTTCAAAGATTAACCAAAGTCTGATGGGTTTAGAATTACATGAGAGTGAGTAAATGATGACACAATTCTAATTTTGAATCAGCTATCCCTTTAGAGCCATTCATTTCAACTGTATTTGTCACTTTACAAAATAGTAGGAGTACAGCACCTTTTTTTTTAACACACTCTTTCGTAACTTCTTTCTTAACAGCCTACCGCTACAATGACTTGGTGTCGCCACGTTTCCTTGATATGATAGCGAACCTGTCTGGCTGCACGGCCCATCGGCGCTTCAACAATTGCTCGGATATCTGCTTCCACCAGAAGTATCGCACCCACGATGGCACTTGCAACAACCTGCAGCACCCTATGTGGGGCGCCTCGCTCACTGCTTTTGAGCGCTTACTAAAGCCCGTCTACGACAATGGCTTCAATCTCCCGCGTGGCGCCACTGAGCGAAGGCATAACAGCTTCCCTCTGCCTCTTCCACGCCTGGTCTCCACCACCATGATTGGGACGGAGACCATCACCCCAGATGATCGCTACACACACATGCTTATGCAATGGGGCCAGTTCCTTGACCACGACCTGGATTCAACCGTTGTATCCCTCAGCCAGTCTCGTTTCTCCGATGGACAGTTGTGTACCTCGGTGTGCACCAATGACCCACCTTGTTTTCCAATCATGTTCCCTCCTGACGATCCACGGCAGCGGCGCAACGGAGCACGTTGCATGTTCTTTGTGCGCTCTAGTCCTGTTTGCGGCAGTGGAATGACCTCTCTGCTTATGAACTCTGTGTATCCACGCGAGCAGATGAACCAGCTCACCTCCTACATCGATGCCTCCAATGTTTACGGCAGCTCACAGCACGAGGCAGAAGAGATCCGTGACCTGGCCAGCCATCGGGGCATGTTGCGGCAGGGTATTGTGCAACGTACCGGCAAGCCATTGCTCCCCTTTGCAACTGGCCCACCAACAGAGTGCATGCGGGACGAAAACGAAAGTCCCATTCCTTGCTTCCTAGCTGGGGACCATCGTGCAAATGAGCAGCTTGGGTTGACGGCTATGCACACGGTTTGGTTCCGTGAACATAACCGCATAGCCAGCGAGTTGCTACGTCTCAATCCCCATTGGGATGGCGAAACCATTTACCATGAGGCACGGAAGATAGTCGGAGCCCAAATGCAGCATATAACCTACAGCCATTGGTTGCCCAAAATACTGGGCGAGGCTGGCATGAGGCTAATGGGCGACTATAATGGCTATAATCCCAATATTAATGCTGGCATCCTCAATGCTTTTGCCACTGCTGCCTTCCGCTTTGGCCATACGCTCATTAACCCCATTCTGTACCGGCTCAACGAAAACTTTCAGCCCATCCAGCAAGGACACATTTTGCTGCATAAGGCTTTTTTCTCACCTTTCCGTATTGTGAACGAAGGAGGCATCGATCCTCTGCTCCGTGGCTTGTTTGGAGTGGCGGGAAAAATGCGAGTGTCCACTCAACTGCTTAACACCGAACTTACCGAACGCCTTTTCTCGATGGCGCACTCCGTGGCGCTTGACCTTGCTGCCATGAATATCCAAAGGGGACGTGACCACGGTATGCCACCTTACAATGACTACCGGGTGTTCTGCAACCTGACGTCCGCGCAGACGTTTGATGATCTAAGGAATGAGATTCAGAACCCCAGCGTGCGAGAAAAGCTTCAAAGGTTAGGTCTCGTTCTATATCACATGTCATTGAAAGACGCATTCAGCATTTTCTGGGTGTAATGGTCTGTTCTGCTCCCAGGCTGTATGGCACACCTCAGAATATTGACCTGTTTCCTGCGCTGATGGCTGAAGAGCTGGTGCCTGGCAGCAGACTGGGACCGACCCTCATGTGTTTACTGGCAACCCAGTTCAAGCGTCTCAGAGATGGTGACCGGTAAGACCTGGCCTTGTTCCTCAGAAATTGCTTCTTCTTTTTTTTTTTTCAAATTCCAAACTTATTTGTATAGTTTTTTTTTCATAATACACATTAGGGCTTTTCACACTGCGCGTAACCCTGGGTTATTGTGATTATAAACCCCATTTTTAACCTCGGCTTAAGGCATGCTTCACACTTGTAATTTAGACAAGTTATATGTTATGAAAGCCTGCTCCGGAGCAGTGATTGCAGTGCTATGTTGTGGTGTCAAACATGTACCATGTTAAACAATTCTAGCAACAGACACCCAATCAATCGTGCCTCATGTTCACATGCTTTGGTCAGTCACAGGAACACAGCACGTTGTATAAACGGTCTCCTTGCTGCTTAAGGCGAAAAAAGCCAAATAGTGATGGACAACATGAATTGGAGAGAAGAAAAGATTGTCTTGGAGTGTTTTATTCTACCTGTATAGTCCAATAAGTCCATTTAGGGAAAATCTAACAATTTGCAATATATAAAATATAGATACGCAATGTAAATATTATGTAAACATGTATTGCTACTTTCGTTCAATCAATGACACTGACACAGCAAATAAGAACGTTAACCGCAGATAAATTGTGAGCAGTGTGAAACGTGAAGCAGAATTCTGTTTACCTGGGTTTAGAGTATGAGAAGCCCTATTGTTTCAAAGCAGCTTTCCAAAAATGATGATGTTCTTGTTTATAATATCTTATATTCATACCTTATAGTCACATTTAGCAGATTAGAGCTAGGTGATAATATAGTTTACATTTTGCGACAATACAAGTGATTAAGCAGTTGAGATTTGCTATATAGTATATATTGTCCTACATGAGTATACAGTATGTATGTTGGTAAAATAGGATGTACTATATATCCAACTTTTAATATATTGTTTACATATATTTTACATTTTTTCGACAATATATACAATCAAGCTGTTGAGATTTGCTATGGTACATACAGCAGTGGTCACCAACCTTTTTAAGCCCAAGATCACTGACCTTGGCCTTTATGAAAGACAAGATCTACCTATTGAAGAATTGATAGAAAAAGATTGTACTTCTAATTTGAGGCCTTTTATTTAGTATTTTAATTAGTGATGCACCGATCATGGCTGATTCCGAATCTTTTTTTTTTTTTTTCTTTTTTTATCGAGCAAATTGCCCGATACTGATACTGGTTACAGAATTTTGTTTGTCTGTTTGTTTTTGTTTTGTTTTGTTTTTTTAAAGCAAATTTATTTATTGGTTATTTTATGGAAGAAAATAATGACAAATGTCTTTGAAACGTAAAAGCACGTTGAATTGCACTAACTGAAAAAATAATGCATTGCATTAACAGTGCTTGCATTTTAATGCCTTGTATTTTCAGGGCTTGCATTTTTAGGGGCTGAAATCCAACATAGTTGTATATTTAAGCTGTGAATATTTCAATTTCAATTGCGCAATGCGCAAAACTGCACTTTAACCATTTTCCATAAAGAAAACACTAACGTGGTTTATTGCCTCAAGACATTGATAATAAATGACTAAATTCGGTATCTAATTAATTAAATATACTATGTATAGTTAAGCAGATGAGCCCATATTAACACAACCCACAAAGTTTTACCTAAGCCTTTTTCTCCCATAGAAAACCAAGCGCAAAGTTAGTTTTAGGTTTGATATTCGCTGCATATTCGTCTAGACTGCTGTAGGGACCGTCTGCAAATTTACCAGTTTACACAGTACAAAACGAAGTACAATAATTCATTCAAATTAATGTTTACAAGGCTATAGTAAAGAGGGCAAAATGACTAAATATATATTGCCAATTTCTCGCCTTAGACAATACTTCCCCTAAGTATGTAAAGTACACAGTGTATTTTTAAGAAAAAAAAGTAGCCTAATTCATCAAAATGGAGTTTTTTGTGTTCCAAATGTTGTATGTTCCTAGTGACCAGACTGACTTGCTACAGTTAAAATTTTGCCAATATCTTTCTTACTGTACATGTAGTATATAATTATTCACCTAATGTTTTGTTCCCATGTTCCAAAGGTTGTAGTACATTCCTAGTGACTAGAATGACTTACTATAGGTGAATTTTTGCCAATACCTCCCTTACTGTACGTACAGTACACAGATATTTTACACTACAACCTTTGTAACATGAAAAAACTCTTGGGGACTTACAGTATTTTTTTATGAAAATAATTGTGTACTGTACATATATGAAGGCAAAATCTCACCTGTAGTAAGTCAACCTGGGCACTAGGAACATACTACAACCTTTAGGAACACGAAAAAAAGACTTTTGGGGACTTTTTATGACCATAATTGTGTACTGTGTTTGTGTATAGGGGTATATATATTTGTGTATATTACACTATGAGTAATACATTGACAGTGTGTAATTTTAAATGTTAAAAGTCATTTTAATTACAATACATTGAACGTTTTAACCCAGTCGGTGGAATTGTCAGACGGTCCCTTGGGCATGGCTTGTGAGATAGCGCGTCAAAGCTTTCTGCTGTTTAAATTTGCAGCTACAATACACATAGGCGGGTTTGAATTATTTTTTTTATGTCGATATAAAGTGGCTGCATATTGTTAAAACTAATCGTGGTAGTGATATATTTGTAGGACTGTCGACTCTATATCAGTGTGGCAAGGGAAAGCGAATGTCCGGCGAACATCGAACCTAAAACTAAAGGTGATAGAAAAGCGGCGATTATAAAGAAAATGCAGCGCGTTGAGTTCTTCTCGCCTCATTTGCTTGCCTGTATATAGTTTGCATCATCAGTAAGGTGTAAGTTTGGTCTTCTTATATCACTGCATTAGTTCACTGTGGTGCGTTATGCATTTTTCACGTTACGTGTCGTTGGGGAATCCTGGAGTGTGACGTATGAGGGGAACTCCAGTATTACAACTCAGCCTCACACAAGCCATGATACAAAGTTAAGGGAAATAAGCAACCAAAAACAATATATGTCTTCCTCCAATGTAATGTTAGTTCTGTACAACCTCAGCATCGGTTAAAATAGCATTATAATCTCCTTTGCGATAGAGAAAGCTGCTTACATGCAGGTTAAACGAGTAACAGCGAAGATGCTGAATTAAACGTAAACACAATCAGCTTTTCCGCATATAGGCTACATACTGGCCCTGATTATCATAACTTCTACTTACCGCTTGCTCCATTCCTGCAAATCAGCTTTTATGAATGAATGAATGACTTGTGCTACCGGTTGTTTTGGTTTTTATCAACAGCCGCTTGCGCCACCTGCTGGTGAGCGACTGACAGCAGATGGCGATCATGCATCGGTGCTCTACTGCTATTCCTGCAGTTCCCGGATGTGCAATGCCGAATTTTACAGAAGGGTATAACTGCAGCCTGGAGATCTCCAAATGGGGTCGGGAACTCCAAAACGGGGTGGGAGCTCCAAAATAGGGCGTGGCTTTCTCCCATTGACAGACAGGCACATGACACGCATGCGCACTTTTTCCCCCAATCCACTTCAGTGCAAACTCCGCCCCACCGCTGATTCTAAAGATTTTATTGGTTGTTTCAATTAAAGTGTTGATTTCCTACTCTATGCTAC